CACTTAGCGGAAATGTTCAGAGACGCTATAATTTGCATATATATATATATATATATACATGGTCAGAATGAAATTCTGAATTTTCCTAAACATGTCCTTTTGTCTCGCTGTAAAGCATGGATAAAATATTTTCCGTATATTTTATGAGTAATCCTGCCATACGTGTACACATAGGAAAGCAATCGGTCATGCCTGTTTAATATTGTACGGTATTGAAATACACCTATATACACTATACTTTGATGATGGGCATATTCATTTTATCAAAATGTTTGCAACAGCCAGGAAAAAATTTCAGAGACCCCACAAAGTATATATGGTATCGATCAGCAACAAGTTAAGCATTTTCGTCTGTCCATCTGTCCGTCTGTGTAATGTCTACTATAAACATTCTCCTCCATTGGAATTCCTTGCACACAGGTTGATATTGAAACTGGGCCAAGTCGGTCGAAGGACATACCCATAATGCTAGCTAAACTGAGACCAACTCTGTATCTCAGAAGTAACAAAACAAGATGGGTTTACTGGCCATTACTCATAAGCTACTCATACGCAAATTTATCTACAAAAATTTGAATTCGGGAGATTCGGGATACCGTTACAAAAACGAAAAGAATTGGCTACGCCTACTCAATGTTGTAGTATATCTTGGTTAAATTTCTCTCTTTTCAATACCTTTACAACGACCAGAAACCATCTTCAAAAACCCCAATAAGTATATAAATTCTTTGTTGGCTGCGAATATCGAATGTACCTAAGAATGTCCATCGGTCCGTCTGCTCAACTGTGTAGTATCTGTGGTAAACATTCTTCGGTAAATTGAAGATATCGTCTACAAATTTGGAAAAGGATCTGAATACATACTTTTGCTTTTCGTATTACTTATAAAATACAACATATATGCTATATAAATTTTTACTTTTCATTGCGAAAGTTGAAAAAGTCAACCACGCCCACTCAATATTATAGAACATATATATTTAGTTTTTTTTCATTTTGTTACCCTTGTTTATAATAATGGCGATGAATTCGGCCACAGCCGAATATAATATTCTTCTTCCTTTTTTTTTTTTTTTTTTAACACGACACAGTCGAATATAATTTTCTTACTTGTTTTAACTTTGTTCAGTATTGCATTATTACAGTGTTCTTAAAATTGCTATCAAAGTCAACTGGGTTTTAGTTAGAGCTATTTTTTCTCCATACCTTACTATATTTATTTATCGATTTGAGAAATCTTCAATTTCTATTGTTAAGTGATTCTTATTTCATAGGTAAGCATAAGCAAAGTAGGTCTTGAACTTGCTCTACCATGTCACTCTCAATGTCAATGTAATTCTCCGTACTACTTACGACTTGGTTCTGTAAGTTTTTACGCGAACTTTCCAATCATCTTGGGCATCAGATAGAGAGTTTTAGTTTTATTAGTGTTAGTGTTAAACGCGTAAGTTATTAACGTGAAAATATGTTTTTTACTTGTTAATAATATGCGTGTATGCAAGAAGTAAAGAATGATAATATGCAGAATGTATTCAAACTCGACAGATGTCGTTCGCTGTTATTTCAAATCTATGAAGTGTCATACATTAAGCGCAATGCTGAAATTTGTATCCGCATTTTTTAAAGGAATTCATTCAGATCAGATTTATACAAAGTGTAAATAATTGATTAAAATGCATGTCCCAGTACACGGAGAGATTGCGGTAAATGAAATTATGTCACGGAACTGGTGTCTAAAATTTCTTTGCTCGAAAACACTGCACCTTTTTGGTTGGCTGATCATTACCTATACTATAATAATATCAAGAATATCAGAGTTTCTGGCTACAAATTGCGAAAATAATCTCCACATACACGTATAGATGGGGGGATGTTTTGCTATGGATTCAGAGATAAACATATGAAACCTCTTCAATAAATATATTTTCTTGCCTAGCTGAAGCTTTACTTTTTTTCTGGGATATAAGCATTTCCGACGGCCTGTTCCGTTGTCTGGTGCCATAATCTTCCCTTTGTCAGAAATATTTACACAAGGAAATGAAAAATTTATTCAAATGTCAGTTTGAAAATATTTATAAACGAGATACGCAGGAGAAGAAGAAAAATTGAATGATAAAAAAAAAAAACCTTTTACACTCACACGAACTTTTTTTGAAAAAAAAAACGGATACCTTAAGATCACCCATAACTTATACGAGGGAATTTTATTGTCATTATATTTTTTATACTTAGTGATTGAAAAGGGAAAAATTCAATGTTTTTTTTAATTCTCGAACACAAATTTACTCTCGTGCTATGTTACAATTTAGGAGAGTGCTTTGCGCGATTTGACTCATTTCGATATAGAAACATACACATGTGTAGATGAATATCCAATGTTTTTGATAAATTAGAAGCCGACATCTTCATTTTTTCGGCCAGATGAACGCTTACAACATCCATACATACATAGACTGACAGATGGACATCCGTGTTTAGATCGATTTAAAATGTGATTGTGTGCTTATTGCGATCATTTTAACGACAACCACATACGGATGGTAGATGGTGTAAAAAAATTTAAAAGTTTACAAATGGTAGCATCCATCCGTACCATTTGTTTACAATTTTTGTAAATCTATTGCTCAGAGTCGTCTAAACGTTTCGTAGAAATATGATGAGCATCGACGATGTGCTTCGAAATGAATGTAAACTTTTTGATATTTGGTTTTGTGTTTTGTGTTTTTTTTTTTTTTTTCGTTTTTAACGCACACACATACACATCTTAGTTTCTGATCTCATACCATTAAATAACAATAAGTTTGACTTACATATTAATATTGGAAGCGAATATCAAATGTATTAACAGATCAGTTTTATCATATCCTGTATGATTGATTATCTTTTTCTTTCAGTGTAAAAGTAAGAAGAGCATTCAAACATGTTCTTACTATCAACTTACTTATTAATAGCAAAAACAACAATCACAATAAATATAGTATAATAATTACACATACAATCAAAAATACCTCATAATAAAAATCGACGGTAATACAAGAACCGCAACAACATCAACAACATCAATATCATGAAGAACAATTTTAGATCGAAATATATATAACAATGAAACGTAACTAACTTGAGACGATCAGTTGTGATATGAACGTGTAACGACTAACACACATTAAGCGAAATAAGAGCAAAAAAGGAAAAACGAATAAGCGTAAATACGCGTTAAAAACTTTTTTTCTTTTGTGTTGGTTTTTTGTTTTTTTTTTTTGTTTTTTGTTTTTTGTTTTCATTTAAAACGCATGTAAACTTAATTCTCTTTCTCTCTCTCTCTCTTTATTAATTTGTATTTGTATGTGTGCGTGTGCGTGCATGCGTGTGCGTGTGCGCTTTGCGTATTTGTGTGTAAGCCGGTCTACAGCCCTCAATAAAATTAATGACGTTAATGATCTTATATTTTAATAAAAATGAGTGAAGGGGATCTGCAGATGAATGAATGAATTTTTTATTTTTTTTTTTTTTCGTTTTGTTTTGCTTAGAAGACTTGAGAACGAATTATCGAACATAAGCTAACATTAATGTTGCGTTTTAATCAATTAATGTGAAATGATTTACGATTGTAAACAGAAGGAAAAACAATTGTTGAAATTTTTTTTTTTTTATTTTATTGTATTTTTTTTTATTTGTTGATTTACTTTTAAATAAATAATTGAATAAAAATATTTGCGCAAGTGATTGCATATCGTAAAGATTGTGTTAAAGGAAACCGGTTTTTAAAACGTGATCATCAATTCTATTGAATTTTAAAATTGCATTAATTTTTGAAAAAATTATACTTCTTCAGAAATCGCAAACAACATGTGTATATAAATCATACAATGAATATCGATCGACTGACTGTCGTTTCATATAAATCTCTTAGCTGAAACTGTATTTATTGCAAATTTTTTTTTTTTGATATTTTTTTTATAGTGCTGTCCAATTATATACGTCAAATGTTGTGACGTACAAGTGATATATATATATATATATAAATTTATGAAAAAAAAAAAAAAATAAAAAAATTAAAATAAATAAATATAAAAAAATCTTTCGCTATATAATATCGTCCTAGTCGCGCTAACGTCCTATTGTTAAATGACTTTGACTTTTTGTAGACATATGGGATCTCGTTTCGAATCGAAAAGAATTCAAAAAGAAAAGTGACCATGTTTTTGGGCGATTTGTACATTTAACTTCACTGCGTAGAAAAATTAAAAATTTTCTTTTATATATTTAACGGTTAGAGGGAAACCAGTGATAGAAGGAAGAGTAAAATATACTTCGTATCTAAATCATTTTAATTACATTTGGACGAATTTTTTTTTTCCCCGTGAAATTAAACCTCACCTCTCAGTTTTTTGCCATTCTTTTTGAACATATAGGGGATAGAAAGAAATGGGGAAAGAGAAACACCCAAAATAAATTTTACCGCATTGAGATTTGAACCCGCGATCACCAGGACTTTTTCGGTTACGATTCTTGCCTACTCGGTCAAACGGGTTGATTGACGGACGAACTTGACTTATACTTACTCCAAGCTATTTACATATTGCAAACTCTATTATACGTGTTTATGGATGTTGCTTATGAGTTGACATAAGGACATAAGGACAACATTCCACTCTTATTGTTTTGATGATGATCCCTGGAAAGTTATTGCGGTTTAGTGGAGATTTTTTGCGATATGCTTTCTGCATTCACATAGTTAACGACATCAACGATCTCTGAATAAGTTGGGGCGAGGTGTAAAAGGTTTCGCTTCTTCTTCATTTCTCATTAGACTTTGGCGCGATATTATTCATAATTAAACAAAAAAATATACAATAAATTGAGTTTAGTTACACATAAAGATTGTTTCGCATTACTACCAGACACTTAACAAATATTATACTTTTTAACAGATAATTAACTTGAATTACGTTAATAAATTGAAAAAAATTATAATTCTTCTTGAAAATGAAAAGTTTTTTATACGTTTCTATTAGAATTCAAAATATAAAGAAATATTTTTGAAAAATTATTAAAATATTTTCATACAAACGCTGTCCGAAAATGTTGTTGCGTTTATCGTTGTCGTTAGATTTCAAGTTGAAAGTATTTTTATTGTCGGTATTATTGATTTGCGTAGTTAGTGCTGATGGTCAGAATTTTGATGAAATTTGGTTAAATGATTCTTTATCTACGCAATCGTCATCATCATCATCATCATCATCATCATCATCATCATCATCATTATCATTCAGTAAAGCATCGGACATTAATCGGATTTTGTCAAACTCAACGTATTTTGATGAGCCAGACTCGAACGATAGCGATTATAATGAACGTATAGTGGATAATGTAACGGACATCTGTTTACAGCGTTGTGTCAATGAGGTGAGTGTTTTAAAAATAAAAAATTACTTTTTTATCAACACTTTGTTGCGTAAATGTGATCCTGTGTGAGATTTGAAAAAAGATATGTGACTTAAGAGGGCAAAGGTGAATTTTTTTTTTTTTTTTTTTTTTGGGGGGTTTGAAATTAATCCATCTGGACCCATAGGCGATCATATGCCTTGAGACTTAGATTTGAATGCCAACTCGATTTCTGCAATCAGGAAATGTTTCTCTCGTACTCTTGAGTCAATAGTGAGTTTATGGCTGATTTCTGTTGTCATCATATTTTGATTTGATGTCCCATCTCTGCAATTCAATTAAAGCTATCTGCATTAACGGATCAAACAGAGCGGAAGTATTTCAGAGATTAAAGAAAATTTCACGAATCCACTTATGATATACACTTTTAACTGTAGTAGTGTATCGCCGTCTTGTGCATCTATCTTCCGGTCGTTAACCAATTAAGTTTTTTTTTTTTAAAATTGGAGATGCTTCTCCTTTCTGGCCAAAATATAAGCCTCAGCTCTGAAGCATGTTTAGCTCATATGTCATTCGGTTCGATAATACGTTTCAAAAATTTTTTATACTGCATACATACAGATGGAATCATCCAATTAATGTAGTGTAACGGTAAAAGATATCAACATGAATTTTGCACATTTTTTCGTGTATGTCCGCGTATCGCCGGTGGCCTCTTGTAAATATTCAATCCTTGAACATTACGTTTTATCGCTTTTTTACATAAATCCGATCTTATTTCATTAATAATACGCGCAGTCTGGATGAATAAGATCATTGGAAGAGTTCGCGCTCTATTCGAGTAAGTCAATGCTCCAACGTATACCCAAAGTAAAAGAATCCCATGGAGTTATATCGCACGATCTTTGCATTTTTATAAAGACCATAGTCTCGTCGAACTTTTCTCGTAATAAATTGATGTATGCGAAGCGATGTATGTCATGTTGCAATATTTTATTGAAATCACTTACCATTCGAGTCGAAATAGTCTCATTCGTGCCAGAGCAAAAATCAAGTAATCAGGTTTCTGTAGAGCTTTTCATTGATGGTCAGTGTAATGGCGTTTTTATGCTCAAAAATGACATAAACCTAACGATATCCCAATGCTAATTTTTAAGCATGTAAAAATCTTTCAGGAATAGCGGATGTGTTATCTTTCCGCTAAGGCGGCAACATTACTTATTAAAGAAACCAGTTAATCGCTTCTGAGTTACATCTCATAATAAATTTAAGTAATTCCTGTACCCAGTACAGCACTACATATATATATATATGGTATTCCACAAATAATGGTAAGATTCAAGCAAGTTATTGAAAAAGATTGTAATCCATATCTTAAAGTTAAAAGTGTGTTTTTTATCTTGCTTCCGATGGCCCTGTATTATCAAGTTCTTCGGTAGGCAGTACCAGTTTTATCCTTGCAAAGACTGAGATGGCTTGTTGCAAGTATTTTAATCAAATCAGTTAAAAAATGGACTTCCGTACAACTTCTTAAAAAAAAAATCGAAATGGGTCTTATATGGACGAGTATGGTTTTTGGATATGCTTTACGTGAAAAGAAAATCATTTGAAGGCAACTTTCAACGTTAACGTCACACTTGCACACCTGTCATTACTTGAATCTTGGAATATTCTTAGAAATCAATTGAATTTTGCAGTCAATGTTAAGTGTGCTTTCCGTTCGTTTTGTTGCTCTTTTAACACAATAAACGCATATGAAGTGCACTTCTGTTTAGTTTCTCCACGAGACAAAAAGAAATAAAAAGAAAAAAAAAAAAAAAGGTAACGAAAAAAATGTTTTTATGTAAAAATGTTTTGTTGTACTATGATTTATTTCTTATAAAAGCCTCTTTTTTTTTTTTTTTTTTTTCCTTTATGATATTTAAAGAAAATGTTTTTCACTCAATACTATATAAAGCTTAGCGTTCGTTCTATTCACTTATCTTTAGAAATTTGTACAATTTAAAAAAAAAAAAAAAAAAAAAAAAAAAAAAAAAAAAAAAAAAAAAAAAGAAAAGTGTTTTATTAAACAACAAATGTTGTTATATTGTTATGTTAATTTTGTTGTTGTTATTATTATTTAAGTTGGAATTTGAATTTTGTTTATTGTTGTTTAAAATTAATTCTTTGATACTTTTAACCTTGTTTATGATATATATATATATATATGTATATATTGTTGTTTGTTTCGTATATATATAGAAATATTATATATTTTTTTTAATCAAAAAGAAAAAAAGGGACACATTCCCCCTTAATTTCCCTTCATTAGGTTAGATTAAGAATTTTATGTTTTAAACAAAGAGTATTTTTACGGTCATCTGTCGATCAATTCATACGTTTCTAATCTGTAGCAAAAGTGACGGAGAAGTAATCGGCGAATCTGTTGGGCTCAGTGCTAAGTGATAATCTAATCTATTTATTAAACCTTATTCCAAACGGTGAGAATTTTGTTGTATGTTAACATAGTAGTATGTTAAGGCTACTCTCTTCTATTACTCTGCTTAGCGGTTTGGCAATATATTCGTTTAGTCAAAACGCTTGCGTATCGATTGAAATAGATTCGTTCGTCTATCCGTCCATTGTCTATGGTAAATATTCCCCTCTCAAACAGCATTGGAAGCAGCATTACCCAGGTGGGTATTCAAAATGAGTCAAATCGCTCGAAGGGCGCATCTATCTTGCAATATGAACTGAGAACATTTGTGTTTTCAAAAGCAAAAAAATTAAAAAGAAATCCGATTCAACTATAACAACAACAACGGTAAATGTTTTCCGATATATCCTATAGGTAATCGTACCGTACCTGTATAAAAAATCGTTCAAGTTAATCCGATACTATAGAGTAAAAAAGCAATTTATTTTTTGTAGATCCGCCTGAGTAGCCGAGTAAGCACGAGCTTCGACTAGCATCTCAATGGTCGTGGGTTCAATTCTCAAGTGCGGGTAGAGTATTTAATAAAAGAAACTGACGGCCTTAGATGCTAGTGCTTTAAGACTTTTAGTCTTAGAATTTATTCTCTGGTTAAATTTAAAATAATAATAATAATAATAATAATAATATTTTTTGTAGTTTCTTTTAAAGACAAACTTAATGGGATATAAAAGATCGAATGTCGCTTTCTTACTTGCTTTCATATATTGTTAGTATGAGTTTCGTGTTTGAGTTTTTTGCAAGACATTGGAAGCCGTCGCATGTCGTAGATCATAATTCAATTCTTCTTGCCGGATGACGGAATAGCGGTGGAGTGGCACAATCCTCATAGCTTATAGATATCAAATATTCAATTATATTATATAAAGGTGTGTTGTGCAAGGCATCGATGCCTGACTTGAACAAATTTGGTCAGTTTTACTTGCTAGCGATGTCGCGCTTTCTCATTGAAAACTGTTTGGTTGGTTGTGTGGTAATTTAAGTAATCTTATTGTAGCCTCAACTAATTTGCCAGCCATTTGTCCGAAATACAATTAAACAAAAAGTATTATCCGTTCAATAATGCAATTGACTGATAGACATGTATTAAACCGTCAATAGCATTTCATGTAAAAACTCGGCTAAATGGCTTCAACAACTGCGACAATTTTGCTTATTAACGAAGTCATTAAGCTGATAGTAAGTCTTTTTACAAAAAATGCTTTAAAATGAAAATTTTCATCTCTCTTTAAACGGTTAAGGTTCGTTGCATTGACGTTATAGATGTCGGACTGATGGTGGGCCTGTAGTTCTTGACGTCATGCAGCATGCTGCATAACGAGCAGGTAAACGTTTGTACGAAAAATTAACTATAAACTTGTGGCAGATTGTTTATGTCCCAAGAATGAGTAGTTGGAGTAGAGGAGAGGATTAAATGGTAGACTGAAATAAATCATCAATGTCATCTAATAATATTATATTCATCTTGATCGTTGGAGCTTTTTTTTAGAGTGAGACAGAGAGGGAGAGAAAGGACGAGAAATTGAGATAGAGAACAAGAAAGGGGAAGAGAACAGTGATAGAGGACAGACGGACGGAGAGATACTAAGAATGATATGGAAAAAGATTGAAAGACATTAACATAGATGGACATATATATATACATACCTATATAAAGTCGATAAATAATTAGGGAGATTAACTACGTTAACAAAGTGGTAACATCGAAGGAAACATCACTCGAAAAGGAGTTGGATTTACATCTTAATTGCAAAGGTTGAATAAGGCGGCGTAGGCAAAATATCGAGAAGTAAATTTTGTTCCGAATCCAAATACAAGAGTTTTGCTCGAAAATATATTTAGGGGATTTAACGAAACCATAAGCGAAAGTATATGCTATATGAGACCGGAAAGCTTTTGGTAGACCGGTGTACGTAATGCTGGCTAGTAATCAAGAATATATTGAGTTGGCAAGAAGCTAATGTAGCAGACGAAATTTTTTTTTTATTTCTATAATAAGAATGTCAAATGGAAAATTGATGAGATACGGTCCGAAATTATCCGAAGGTTTTATTAACTATTTGAAGAAAATATTCCGTCCAAACATCTCCACATTCCGACAAATATTAATATAATTATAAATACGGAATCTACATCAGGTACATCGCATTATATAGCCTGAATATATAAAACTTTCGAAAATAGAGGATATTGCACAGCTTTGTTTCTGGATATATTCGAACACTTCGAGAAAGTAATGTGCGAAGGTTTTATGTAGAAAAGTAGACGATACTTATCTGAAAACACTCATGTAGTATTCGAAATTATGTTTACGTAACACGCATCAGTTATTCTTTGTTCACGACTAGAGAAATTTTAGCCCAAAAAAGAATTCTTTTTTGTATTTACTATCTATAGCGGGTACATACACGCCTTCTATCCAGCTCAAGTATACACTTTTGCTAATGACATTATTAAGTAATTACGCTAATGCCATGAAAACTTCGTTATGCATGTAAAGTGTAGTCAACGTACTTGAAGATTGATATAACAATTGGAAGATGAAAAT